TGTATACTGTCACCGAGATTGTTTATGCCTATGGTGAATACATCATGAGACGTGCTTTGGAGGGCGAGGAAGGAGGAATCCTAGTCAATGGTAAAACCCTAAACAACCTCAGGTACGCGGACGATACCACCCTGATAGCGAAAAGTGAGGAAGAAATGGCCCGGTTGCTGGAAAGAGTTACCATCGAAAGCAATAATCTTGGTCTAGAAATAAACATTGATAAAACCAAACTCATGCTGATTGATAGAAGTGGTGCAGTTCGATTACACAACCTCCTCCCTAATATAGAAAGAGTAGATCAATTTATATACTAAGGGTCTTTAATAATAAATAATGGGGGCTGCGAAGCAGAGATAAGAAGGCGTATAGCTATGGCACGGACGGCTATGATGAGCCTAAGAAAAATATGGACAGATAGGAGCATTACTAAAAACATCAAAAAAACCCTTGTTCGATCTTTGGTGTTCTCCATATTCCTATACGGGTCTGAGTCATGGACCGCCAAGAGCGCTGATAGACACCGTATAGATGCATTTGAGATGTGGTGCTGGAGGAGAATGCTGCGTATCCCATGGACAGCTTGAAGAACGAATCAGTCAATTCTTAATGAACTCGGCATCACAGATCGATTATCCACCATCTGCCGTAGACGCATCCTGCAATACTTCGGTCATATCACTCGCAGAGGTGAAGACAACCTTGAAAAAATCATAGTACAAGGCAAAGTAGAAGGTCTAGTAGAGAATAGTATCTCTGAAAACCATAAACTTACATACATACATACATACATACTGCCATTACTCGCTGACGAGTATTTGACACGCATAAGAAGATGGTCACGCAAGGCGTTTTCTTTCATGAGCTTTTCTGTGACTAAAAAGCCCGATACGTGATGTTATCTGTCTACCGCACTCGAGACATTCAAAAATCTCATTGCTTTGTTGCTTCTTTATTTTTGGTTGTCGTTGTTAACTGATTTTACAATTCCTCTCCATTTCGTTCTATTATGAGCTGCTTCTTCCAACTCATTCTGCTTGTTAACTCCCTTTTTTTCCGTGGTTTTCGTAGAAAATCTAATATCGATCATAAAATATCCTTGTACCTTTTGAGTTGTCCACCCGGCCTCTTCTTACTGTCTACAAGCTCACCGTAAAGCAGAGATTTTGGTATGCGGTTTTCTTGCATTCTGCATACGTGACCAGCCCATCTTAAGCGGCACTTTGTAATCATGACTTTAATACTCTCGCAGTTAGCATTTTCAAGGACAGATACGTTTGAGACATGATGGAACCATTTTATTCTTAAGAGTTGTCTAAGATGTCTCTGCTGCAACTTGTTTAATGCGTTCATATGTCGGCGGTACGGCACCAAGGTTTCGCTTCCATATAACGTGGTGGGAATTATTATTGCTTGGTACACTGCAAGTTTTTTTTTTGTGCTCAAGTCATGATTATAGAAAACCCTGTCTTTTAATTTTCAGAATGCTCTTGAATTTCAGAGTCAATATTGGCCTTTTCCAAAATCGAACTGCCGAGGTAATTGAATTCCGCTGCATATTCCAATAGTTCTTCTCCGATTTTTATAGCATTGTTGTGATCTTCCGGGGGAGCGCAAATGATTTTGGTTTTATCGATGTTCAGCTTAAGTCCCAGAGCCTCGTATGCCCATGTATATGTATATGTGTTCAACGTTTCTTGCAATTGCTGTAACGTATCTGCAACTCGAGCACAATCATCAGCGTGTTGAAGTTCTGTGATGATTTTTGTACGTGTTTTTGCCTTGAGTCTTTTTATGTTGTTTGAACAAGCCGCCGCGCCGTTATATCTGTATCTAATGCCCAAACCTCTCCCCTGCAGTTTGCTGTCCACTATAATGGAGAGCGCTGCCATAAAAATATTGAATAGGAGAGGCGCTAAGACATATCCCTGTCTAACGCCTGTGTTTGTTAGAAAGGGATCGCTCAGTGATTCATGATAATGACACTCTTGATTTGTTGTTGTTATGGAGGCTTTTACACACTGTAAGAAATTTGTTGCATCAAATATCTTACTATATCAATTACTATATCAATATCAAAGTGCATCTCTGTTCACAGAGTTGAAGGCTTTAACCTACTGCTGCTCTTTTACTTTTTCCTGTAGTTGGCGGATGGAGAATATGGAATATGGTTGGTTTGGTTTGGTTGGTTTGGTTAATAATCCCGTTAATTATTTCACTACGGTAGTATTTATTACCCTTAGCATGTCAATTATTAATTTATAAGTTTGAATTTAACTTTAGATTATTACTTAAGGGGAAAAACCATAGATCCTGGTATATCCTACTATATCCTATACAGGGTTGTTCACCACATACGACACGGAGTATTGTAGCTAAACGATTAGATTTTTACAAATTTTAAGTTTTGGGTTCGTTGAAGGACTATTAGAGCTACAATTTAGAAATAATTTTACAAGATACAGAGTGTCCCAAATAAAGTAAAAAATGCTATAGTTGTATTTTTTTAAATTGAACACCCTGTATATTATTCTATTTTTAGATTCTACGATTGAAATAAAGGTAAATTTTATTAAGGTTTATCAGACTTAAACCTTACCGTTTTTGAAATATTTTCAATTTTGTGAAATTGCAGTAAAAATTTTAAGGCTTCATTTTGGAGAAATGAAGCCTTAAAATTCTGGGTATCAAAGTTTTTAATACTAAATATTTACTGAAGTTTATTTATTGATCAGCTATTGTGTTGCAATAATAAAATTATACTACCTTGTAGAGAGTGTCTAAAATTTTATTTTAAATAATTACTAGCTTTAAACGGCAATAACTTGTTTAATTTAAATGGAACGCCCTATATATTTTAGGAGAATCAGATGCATAATTTAATTGTCTATCAAATTGTATTATACCACTTTTTACCTATCCCTTCAAATTTTCGTAAAAAATGCATTTTCTTATAATTTAGACCTCATTTATCAATATACCCATGGAATATTGACATTTTAGATTGTTTTTAAAGCAACAAATGTACAAAATGTACAGGCTAGTAATATTATCTTTTTCAGCAAAATGATAATATTACTAGCCCATTTGTATGCAAAAAGAAAACTATTTAAATCTTCATAAAAGAGTATACCATTAATTAAATATACCACCATTATTTCCGCCCAAATACTAATTAATTACATACTTAATTATGTTCGTGAATAAATTATTCTAAATAACTGTGGATTTGATCAGAAATCAATATAATAATAAGTTATAAAAGTGAATGTCTCTGTTGTTACAAATAAGCATTTGTCAAAAAATTAAATATCATTTTTAAGGTGTTACTTTTTACCACACTGTCTAATACACACAAAAAATTCAGTTTTTTAGTTTTTGGTGCAATTATTATTAATCAACGCAAACAGTCAATTAATGTACTTTGAATATTGGAATCATATTAATTGGTCCTCTTTAACAAATATTTAAACAGTTCTTTTTATTTTTTAATGAAATAAACAAACTATATCAACAATATAGTATCTGTACTCTTTAAAAATTTGGTACATCTTTAAAAATAGTCTAAAATGTCAGTATTCCATGGGTATATTGATAAATGAATTTAAAATTACAAGAAAATGCATTTTCTACGGAAACTTGAAGCTATAGGTAAAAAATGGTATAATACAGTTTGATAGACAATTAAATTGTGCATCTGATTCTCATAAAATATACAGGGTGTTTCGTTTAAATTAAACAAGTTATTGCCGTTTAAAGCTAGTAGTTATTTAAAATAAAATTTTAGACAATCTGTATAAGGTAGTATAATTTTTATTATTGCAACACACTAACTGATCAATAAATAAACTTCAGTAAATATTTAGTATTAAAAACTTTGATACCCTGAAGGAGAAATGAAGCCTTAAAATTTTGACTGCAATTTCACAAAATTGAAAATATTTCAAAAACGGTAAGGTTGTAAGTGTAATAAACCTTTATCAAATTTACCTTTATTTTAATCGTAGAAACTAAAAATGTAATAATATACAGGGTGTTCCATTTAAAAAAATACAACTTTGATATTTTTTATTTATTTGGGACACTCTGTATCTTGTAAATATATTTTTAAATTGTAGCTCTAGTAGTCCTTCAACGAACCCAAAACTTACAATTTGTAAAAATCTAATCGTTTAGCTACAATACTCCGCGTCGTATGTGGTGAACAACCCTGTATATTAAAATAACAATAGGTATATATTTTTCTTCTTTATTAAACAAAAATAAAATTTGAAACGCAATACTTAAAAAGTGTGTCTATATCAAATATAGACAAGAGCGAATTTGATTATTTCTTATTGATATGCCCAATAAACCTCTATAGAGTATTTCTACTCAAATAAAATATCGTAAAAGCAACATTTCCTTTAAATAAACTGTATCCGTCGATCTAAGTTAATTTACTAATGAAGTCAATCACGAAAGCTCAGTCGTGGAAAAGGTAGATATATAAAGAATCAGAAAGTAAAACGTTGAGTCAACAAGCAAAGAGAAACATTTACTTAATTAAAAAGATGTGCTTTTTGATTTTTTTTTCATACGACCTGAATATTTTATAAGCATTTTTTTGAAATTTGCCGATTTCGTAAAAAATCAAGTCAAATTGTTTTCGTCATTATTATTTGTTCTCAAACAAATTTTAATAAGCTTGTTAACTAGAAATTGATGAGGTGTGTAAAATAAGAGATATTTTCACATTTATAATAATATATCTACTAGATACTACGAGTAGATAAGGTTATGTTTTTGAGATGGCTAATGAACGAAGAGAGAGAAATTTTTCAAAAATATATCTCATAAATTTTAGTTCAGCTGAAATAACATCATTAGAGCAAAATTTGGATAACTCAATATTTTTTTTGGAACAAATCTACCATGTAGGAAACTTTATAATATTTACATACACATTATTATTGTTTTTGCTATCTTAAATTTATTGCTAAAATACCAAGGAGATACTTTACCTGTTCCTGCTTCTTTAATTCGATGTACATTTAATGCTTCCCTATTGGAGTCTAAGACAAATTCTAGCATGCCTGTAGGTGAGAATGATGGGGCTACGCGCATTGTCAGGCCGGGATAAATAAAGCTCATGTCCCATTTCATAGCCCGCTTCCCAAATACATGATCAAAAGTGCCAACAATGCTCCTAAAAAGAATTATATTTATCAACTTTGGTCTCTAGACAAGGAAACATAATTTTAATGCTTGTTTTTTTACCAGCTGCATACGGTCTATTACTAAACCAAAGTTTGAATCTTTGTAGGTGTAATTGTAGTACGGTCTTCAATTACTACATGGCTAAATTTTTTGAGACCTAGGTATTTGTTTTTAGTTTGCTGCGGATCGGGAATCAATTCTTTTAAATTACCTATTTTTATACAGACTGAGTCTTAAATAGGCGTGGTGTATTTCGACCCCAGAAACACGGTCAAAAATACGTCTATGAGTTTTTTTCGCGATGTTTTTTGAAAATTTAGAATTTTTATTTAAAAAACATAATATCTTCATAATATGGCCACATAGGTAGGAGAATAAATTCACAAGAAAGAAACCCTACAAAAGATCCCGAAGTAAAATATCTCGTTTATTTTGGACTTATTAGAAAAACGGCAAAGAGGAAATATGTTTCTTTCATCCAGATTTACCACCCCTGAAAAAAAATTAAACTCGCCCTGTATAACCCTAAATACAAATCAGAATAAGAAAATCGTGGCTATTCCTGGAAATGGCGGTAATATATTTTAAATATTTAGCAAAAAATAACTGCCTAAATTTCCCTAGAGTTTCATCTCCAATCTGAATCTCTCTTTCCATTTATATTACTACGTTTTCTCCATTAATTAATCCAGATTTAAACTTTCATGAATGATTTCATTAGAAAATTAACTTACCTCTGACAATATTAAACCAGTCAGGAATTTCAGATAAATTTTAGAAACGATGAAAGGAACACTTTTAGAATAATTATTATATAATAAATTTTTCGTAAAAGGCGTCAAGTTACAAAACACGCCTTATCCATTTAAAAAAAATGGCCTAATGATAAAGATTAATAGTAGACGGCTATGTATTATGGATTCATTACAAATGCTTGCCTAATTTTAATCAAACAGCAAACGGAAAACGTGATTCTTTAACAACAGCAAAAAATATGACGTTAATCAAAGTTAATAATAACGTCTGTAAGGACAATCCGCAAACATACTGTAATCTTCATTTAAAGTCTATTTATAATATTATGTACCTACAAATTTTTGAACGGAACCCTAGGTTGGCGAGTATCTCGATCCGCACTCGGTTTTTTTAATAGGGGAGATCGGGGCATGATGACGAACGGGGCAAGATGACAAAGTACCGATTTAAAGAAAACTGTACACCCTAAAAATCCCATTTATATTTCTATAAATTCCTTTAGTCGTATTATCGTCGTATTCGTCGTATTCGTCGTATTCGTCGTATTATTCATAATACGTCGGGTTACACATAGATGGCGCTATCATTTTTGCATCGGGTTTAAAAAATCATAACCGCTTTTCACACCTGTTGGATGTAAACATCCAGCTCCAGAAAATAAGCAATTTCGCAGGTTTAAAGAAAAATAGAAGCCCCTTTTATAGTTAATTTTGATTATTGTGAACATTTTAAATATTAGAAGGTAGGATACAACCTAATTTCACTTAATTAATAATTTATTTTTTGCTGGTTCTTAAAAAATGTTTCCTGGGGCAAGTTGACGGAGGCAACATGACGAATTCGTCAACTTACCCCACCTTCTATAAAATTAGTTAAATTCATTTTTTGATGTTTTTTAGATGGTGAGAACTTATAAACACCGTACAGATAGACGCTCTTGGTCAGAAGATGTGCTAATTGCCGCGTTGCACTTTATTTTGCGCGACCATAAGTCAGTTAAAGCTGCCAGCATTGAGCATGGAATCCCGGAAGCAACATTAAGACGTTATATAAAAAAACAAAATAACAACGAACCAATTCCTCTTAGTGGTAGGAGATTCAGAAGAACGTTTTTTGATGCTCAGGAAACTCAGTCTGTGACTTACCTCACTGACCTGAGTATTAGAGCATTGTTAATTAGAAGCAGAATAGCTTGTTAATTTAATTCTCGCAGGACCCTCAGGATTGAATAAAATGGATTCTGAAAAGAATAAAAACTATGACACCAGATGCTGAACCCCCATTGCTTTCCAAGAAAAATCAGCCGGCAAGGTCAATGAATTTGTCCCTTCCTGGACCTTCAGGCCTACAACAAAAAAAATCTGCAAAAAACAATGAAGCACAAGCTCTTGGTACTATAAGTTCATCTAGCTCTAGTCAAACAATCTCTAATGTTGATAGTCGAGTAACGCTACTTGAAATGAAACCCTTTCCCAAATATACACGTCCCATAAAAAAACTACAAAAAGAATTAAACAAAGGGCTTCTGTCATCACCTCAACACCCAACAAAGAAGAAGAGGAAAGGAAAAACAATGAAAAAAAACTTAAGGGAAATTAAAAGAAGGAAGGTTGATTCTGTCAAAGTCAAAAGAAATGTATTTCAAGAAAATCGTGAAAAGCAGGTAGGAAAGAAGAAGAAAACTAATGACATTTTTTGTCCTGGCTGCCAGGAATTCTATATTGGGCCTCCTACAGAAGACTGGATTCAATGTAACACGTGCGAGAGTTGGTGGCACGAGTCGTACACACTCTACGAAAAAGATGGCACATATACCTGCGACATTTGTTTATAATCGTCATCTTGCCCCAATAGGCTCGTCATCTTACCCCGGTACTGGGTCAAGTTGACGAAAATGCACTTTTTTGTTTTTTTAATTATATTTTTTCAAGAGTACACTTTTATTTTATTTTTTATGTTTTATTATGTACCTGAATAAATGTACTAACAGATGAAATGGGATCTTTTTTTTTAAACCCGTTAGTTCGTGTTTTGGAGCCTTTTGTATTTTACTTCGCCAACTTGCCCCGATCTCCCCTAACATTATCATCTTAAAAAATGTCTATTCCTATGTGGCCTTTTCATTATTCATCTCTCCAAAAAAAACTTTCACAAATCTAAGATTTGTCAACATTCATTCAACACAGAGCACAGAATAGATTTTAACAACGCCAAAATTATAATGAAAGAAGCGATAGCTCTGGAGATAGCCTCTAAAATAAAAATAAAAGAGGTGGAGTTTTTTAATACAATCTAATAAAAATAAATGTATTGCTCATGCATCTGTAGATGTTAGTAACGTATGGCAATCGCTTCTTTGACTTTAAAGAACATAACATAAATAATCATAACATACGTAAAAATCAAAAACAAATTAATGAAAATAATCATACAGAAAGTTTGAAGCTTTTTGGTTTTACCTTATAACTAATTGTTAACAGGTAGTAATAGTTAATTTTGAAGTTTAACATGATATAATGTCATTTTAACAGAACGTCAACGGTTTTTGTAGACGTATCTGTTTAAAAAAAACTAAAGTGTTCTCGAATAGTTGCATTTAAATATATTAAATAGTTTTTTTTCTTTATTCTTTATATTTTTTTGCTTCCGACGACGGAAAGAGATAAACTTTCCGAAACGTTAAGCATTTTTTTGTTCGTTAGGCAAATTTGTTTATCAGTAAACCTAATTGCTGACAAGTAGTTTTTGTTGGATTAACGCATCAGTGTTTACAAAAAATAACTATTTTATTTTGCAGATTTTCTTGCAGTGGCGAAATACCCACATAGGATTTTTTTGGAGAGATGAATCCGCCACATAGGTATGACATTTTTTAACATTGTCATCTTAGTCAAAATTCTCCTATTTTAAACTAACCTCAAATCTGACGGATCCTGATCAGCATAATTATATGTACCATCTCTGTATTCCTGAGTAGCATCTCTGGAAAACGTAAGCCCATCCACCAAATCAAACTCAGGATTGCTGTCTATAGTTTGCAGTCGACTTATTGCTGTTAATCCCACACATTTCCCCAGATCACTTGAAGGCTGGTAAGATATCAGACATTGCTTGAACGTATCACTTAAAGTTGATTGTCCTGGCATTGATAATGTAGATGTTCCAACAAGTAAAGTTGATAATAATAAGAACAAATTGAATAAAGGATGCATTGTATTACGTTTTGAACTTGATTTGAGTAAGAATTATCGCATTTTCACAGTGATTTTTCTCGTTGCACAATTGGTATTACACTGAACAAAACAAGAACTGTTTTCTATGAGCTGTTATTGTTACTACCGATGTCAGGAATGTCTTAAATCGAAATCCTGGGAAAATGGACGGGTTTTATTTTTATATATGGAGGAAAATAACAATGGCAAAGGCAGTGAATTGCGAATTTTTAGTGAAAGTGAGCGAGTGCTTTCGCTAATTGGGTGTTTTTATTTCCAAATTACCGACGAGTCCTTTGTCTCGCTGGGTGGCGATACGGTTCAAGAAGCAGGAAAAGAAGAGTTGTGCTACGGGTATATATGTTTTGCATGAACAAAGCTGGGATTGACGGACGGATAAGTGAGGAGACAATGACGAGAAAATGTTTTCTTTTAATTAGAATTTTATATTCGAGCAAAATTTTGAGTATAAAATTGAAATGTATATGTTTTTGGTTACGGTTTGAAAAGGCGTTAAAAGTTGAGTTATATGGTATTCTATTTATTATTTATTTTCTTTATCATTAAATGATACTTTCTACAAACGTTAGGTATAAACAACAAATAAATAAAACATATACAAAGAACTTTTGTTACATATAAAATACAGGGTGTTTTGCCATTAGATGCTAATAATTGGGGGGGTAATTCTTCCACCTATTCTAAAAAAAATATATGAATGTGTGTCCTAAACATTCTAACTTTTGAGATACAGGGTGGTATATATATTACTCGGTTTAAAACGTTTTTCGTTTATGTCTGTTTACTGAAGTTTACTGTTCTGGTCTATTCCAATCATTTGTTGAGAGGTTTGTACGTTTTTTTGCAAATCTAGTTTTGGTATTCCCTCTTTCTTTTTTTTTGTCTATTGGTTGCCAATTTCATTATTCTCTTGGGCCATCTTGGATTTTTCTTTCGCTCTACACTCTACATGTTCATACCAGATCAGCTGATTTCTCTCTATACTTTGCGTTATTGTGCCATATATATACATAAACGGGATTTGGTTTAAGAATTTAATACTGATTTCCAACTACAGCCTATTGTTGCCATTCTGTGAGTTCACTGATAGATGGCTACGAGAATTGCATCGTGGGTCTTTCAAAAATTTGAATTCTAATTAAGTGGTACAATCGCAAGGACGGTAAATTTATTAGGTTAATAATTCTTATTAGTGAATAGTTTTTTTTTGAGAAATAGATTTGTGTGTCTGCAAACGTTCTATCATTTTTTAATTTTTCTATAATTAGTATTGATTTTTGATTAAGTTTTATGTCATTTTTTAGAAAATGACTTCTAGAAATTTACCTCGCCAAAATTATCATCGATTTTCATTCCCCAGCCTTCTTCGACGAAATATTTAAAGCACTTTTATAAAATGTACGAAATGCGGCAAATTACAGTATTTTTTATTTAAGCAATGTATGCCAGCAAAGGTACGCACAAGAATTATAGTGTCGTGCCTTATCTCCTCCAATTTAAAATTAACTTTAATATTCAGCAGTATATCTTACGTTTTTCCAAACAAAATTCTCATAAACAATTTTTTTAACCAACGGTATACCTTTCACCATCCCATAATACGGTAAAAGTAAGAAACCATCCTATTAAATCGTCTTTCATATTCATAGAGGTTCCATAAATCTCAAAAGGTAAGGTTTAAATTTGTATACCGGGTGCGTCTCAATAGTGGCTCACCCCTATAACTTTTTTATTGTTTCAGTTAAAAAAACGAGATTTGGTATGTTAGTATATGACATAAATTAGGATTGATTGACGTATTCAATTGTTTACGGTCACTTCCTGTTTTATCGGAAATGATTACAACTTTTGATTTTTAAATGGCACCCTCGGTATTTTTTACTTTATTCGAAAGAAAATAACACTCCGAATAGAATGACATATCATATGTGAACTTTTGACATTTTTGCATATGGTTTATTTGAAATTATAACTTGGGGTTCGTAACGAAAATTTGACTCGAAATACCAAATGTGTGGTATCAAATTACTTGTAAAAAAATGATTTTTCCAAATATGCTAATGAGCCACCCTCGTTCTATTTGAGAAAATTGAGATATGATTAAAAATACGATTTGATTATTTTCTAACTGGCCAGGACAAGACACTAATAACATTAAACTATCAAATCTATTTTTCTAAGGCTCCTTGATTAAGAATTAGTGTTTTTAACATAGCCATGGCACTCTAGATTGAATTTTGAAATACGATTTTTTGTTAAGCGAGAATGTCAAAAGTTGACATATGATATGTCATTCTATTCAGAATATAATTTTCTATCCAATAGAGTAAAAAAATACCGAGGGTGCCATTTAAAAATCAAAAGTTGTAGTCATTTCCGGTGAAACCGGAAGTGACCAAAAACAATTGAATACGTCAATCAATCCTAATTTATGTCATATACTAACATACCAAATCTCGTTTTTTTTTATCTGAAGAAATAAAAAAGTTATAGGGGGTGAGCCACTTTTGAGACGCACCCGGTATAAGCAAAAATAAGCATCTTTACGTACATCATCTTAATGTTATTATCTGTTAAGTTTTTGGAGACAGGAAACAAAAGAAAATGCTTATTTAATTTTATAAAGCAGGTCTTTATTCAGTTCAGTTAAAGCACATAGTGAAACAGAAAAAACAGGTTGTAAAATTGAGTTTAATAGATTTTAACAGGTAGAGCTAGATATATTTTTATGTGTGTATCATAAGATCATATAAGAACAAACAAAAAACCATAACAAAATTAAATTAACATAGAAATAATGTCGATAGAAACTAATTGAACACTCAAAATAAAATAAATATATGTATAATCAACATTGACCAGAATGGACATCATTGTAAAACATAAAAATTAAAGCTAATTAAATAAATATTCTACATACTACTTATTTACAATGTGCAATTTTTGTATTATTGGGAACCTACACCAGCGTTTCATGACGATATAAAAATAACAAAATAAATAATAATTGTACAAATAAATATATACCACAACCAGCATAATATCACTAACAAATAAATATATTTTTAACTAAAAATTTACTTAAATATTTTTATATTGTTTTATATTTATCTCTCAAGATTTTATATTTTTGTCATATAAATAAAAACAATTCTTAAATTTTAAAACCTTTTCATTAGACTTCTACAATTTAAGTATACCTTATTCTGTGCCTTAGAAACAAACCATGTTAAGTCCAAAATTGACATATTTATGGTATATACGTCAAGTTATTTAACTTTTTATGTTCTACCCTTTGCTCTTTCCCGTTTTACCCTATCCCTATCGTTAGACCCTAAGTCACGTAAAAGCAGTTTGGCTCAAACATCTTTGGTTGGTTTAGTATGTTATGTCCACGGGTTCACAGTGACGAAAATTTTGACAGTTTTGCTATTATAGGGTAGTTAATTTAAACTTATTAAATATTTCTCAAAGTTTTACAATTTTCTGTTAAATATTTTTTTATTATGTCAGTAATATACTTTTATTTGGACTTAATATGGTTTTGTTTTAATAATTTTGGCTAGGTTAAGCTCTGTAAATATTTTTTTACACAACTCATGTTAAGTCACTCAAAAACATGTTGGTATGATTTATTTAAAAACTGTTTTACATTTCATTTAATATATATACCAAATAGTACAATCATAGGTTTAAAAATAACTGAGTAATTAGAAAATAACTTTAAATTCATTTTTCTCAAAACTATGTTTTGTGACTTAATAAGTTTGCTTCTGGGGTACATAAGAGGTACCTCTATGGTATATTGAAAGATAAATATATTTTATTATTCTAGAGATCATTATATAAATATTATATAAATACATTATTTTAAAACTAATAAAATAATTCTATTTTACCCTCATTTTCTTCCCTAAGTATACCATTAATATCTTTATTGGTTTACACTAAGATTATTATGAATTTTCTAAAGTCCAACAAATAGTTTATAGATATTTCACCTACAAATTTTATTTTCAAAAACATTTTATAAATAAAATACTAACCCGTACGTTAAAAAACATAATAAAATGAATAAGAAATAATAAATAAAAAGTGATCTTATAATACACAACTAGAATATATGAAATATCAATATGTAGAACACGATAGAGGAAATTCGTTCTGCATTTCCCTGATCTGCAATATCCTTTTGCAGGAATATTCTTTGAAATATATTTCCGCCATCTTAATAAATTGGCACCCATACATATCCTTTTTCGTCGAGATATATAGTCTGGCGTACAAAATATACTATCTTAGGTTTTGGCATGAATTTTCGAAATTTTTCTCAATTTTCAGAACGGTGTATTATTTTGAGAAGAAGAAGGATATGAAAATTATGCAGATCTGTTTGAAAAATTATGATTAAAAGTATTTTTAGACGTAGCAATAAATTTTATAGAATTTTTATTTGTTGAATACTTAGGTACACAGAGAATACAGAAATCAGATATTAAATTATCTAGCCATGAAGTTCAAATGCAAAATATAAGATTTTTTAATAAATTTCAGCATATGAAAGAATATAAATAATTTAAAAATAATATTAATTAAAGGATATTAAAAATATAGACAAAAAGACCACAAAGAACACATGAGAAGAATAAGTTATTAATTAATATTTGAATGAAACACAGGAAATTAATATCTCCGTACGTGAGTGTTTCATAATTGTATAATGTTCAAATCAATTTTTTTTTGTAATGAGAACAGTATAAATACTTCTATATATGGCAAGGTGGTAAATATAAAGTATTTGTAAGCTATATACTATCTATACTACCGATCAAAACTAGTTTAAGAGAATAATTAATAAGAATAATTAAGATTCACTTATAAAGTCAGTTTTAAGTATAATCTTTTTGCGACATATTCTTTAATTTCTAACTTTATAAACCCGATCTATTCTGAATTGATTTTATTCTAACAGAACTCCCAAAGTGGAGTTGTAAGACTTTGAAACCACCAAAATTTACAGCTAATTTGCACCCAATATAATCTAAACCCTTCATGTACTTATTTATGGTTGACAATACAAAAAGGATACCAATATTATTTCTTCTATAAAAATATATACTTATGACAAAGTATATATTTGAATATTGTTATACATGTATAAAATCGTATTTTTATTAATATGGACACAATTTTGTGTTAAATTCAGTTTCCAAAGATATTAACTAAAGCTTTGTAACTATGGGTTTCTTTTTACATCTCATAGTTTTTATTTAGCAGGGGTTCCTAAATTATTTTTTTCTCGTAGACCATTTTTTTACTGGTTTACTGGTTTACTTTGGGAATCACTTATTTAGCTTCTGACAAATAATAAAGCTATTTATTCGATTTACAGATGATAATGCAGAAAATCTAATACAACTGGGGATTAATTAATTATAAAAAAAAGTTTTGAAGGTTTTTAGACTATTATTAAAATAAATGAGTTTAACTTGAAGACTAGAAACAGAATATTTAGATCAGTAGTACCATCTCTTATTGAAGTAATATCAGTGGAAAACAGCAATAAATAAATAAGTTAAATAAATTAAATAAACCAGTTAACTGGATGAATTAAAATCTGTTTCTAGCAGCTCCTTCGTAGCCTTTATAGGCCAACTGATCCTGAGTGAAGGCTCTGTCATAGTGACCGACTTCTTCGTGATGTGGATGAGTGGCAACAATCTCGTACGTTGAAGAATGATGCTTGTGCTCAAGCAGCTTCTTCAGAGCGATAATTGAGGATATCGTTAGGGCTACCTTGGCTACTAGCAGTGCTTTGAAAGCGAGTAATCCGATGGCTTTCAGGGCTAGGGCACCGAGGATGGCCGCTTTCATCATCATCATCATCATCATGCCCTTCATTTTTTCTCCACCGCCCCCTCCTTTTTTACCACCTCCACCGCCGCCTTTTCCTCTGCCTGAAAAGAATAGCAAGAAAATTATTTTTTAGTTAAATGCTACAATTTAATTTTATCAAAATTTACATGTTGGACAATTTTTTTTAACAGTAGATAGGGATAACTTATTGTAAAAAGACAATTTTATTTTTGCAATATAGTATTAATAGCTCTACGTATAAAGCTACGCAAAAAAAATCGTATGTATTTCAATTTTATTTTTGAAATTATCGATTTTTTTTAAATTACCCATCTTATGACATCTATCCTTCTCATAGATTTCTACCTAGTCGTGGTGAGAGGGCGTAGTAACCTTAAATATCCATGAAGCGACGCCGGCGGTAATGTACTGGTAGGGCCTTGTCGGTAAGATCTCGATGGATGAAGGTGAAAGCATTTAGGAATCAAAAATGGCAGCTATTTTTTCATAATCGATCAGAAGCAGAGGTCAAATGGACCAGAATGGTTGTGAAACGAACAACAAACGGCGCAGTGGTAACTATAAAACCGGCGTTTGTACACCAGAAAACAAGGGGAAATTACTGCACTATTCTTCCTTAGAAAAACAATCATGGTGAAAACAAATACGACCGCCCCCAGTCCGCGGCAGACCTTCAATGGTCAGGGGGTGCTAAGAATCCCCGCGAGGAACAATATGTCGGAGAACTGTTCGCACCGGAAATTCCTAGATTTTGCAACATCAAAAATGGATTTGAAGAGGCACCTGATCTTAATTTCAGAAGTAGAGAGAGCTATAAAAAATAGTAAAGTAAGAAAAGCCTGCGGCCCAGAAGAACTGCATGAATTGATAAATAAGGAAAACATCCCTATGTTAACTAGACTGTTAAACCAAATCTACAAAAGCAGAGTTCCCACAAGATTGGCTAAAGTCAATTTTTGTCCCTATTCCAAAAAAAAAAATAACACCGCGAAAAACACTTCAAGCTAATGAGCCATGTTTTAAAAATACTACTTAAAATAATTCAACACAGAATATTCCAAAAATATGAAATTGAATTAGATGATGGCCAAATTGGCTTTTGAGAAGGAATGGGGACCATTGAAGCAATGTTTGGCCTGTCTCTTCTCTTACAGAAATGTAGAGATCAACAAAAAGACGTACCTATACATTTTTTCATCGACAACGGAAAGGCCTTTGATAAAGTAAAACACAGAGTGCTGTTTAACATCTTGCAAGAAAAAGGACTAGACAAGAACGATATTTAATTCTTAAAAAAACTATATTGGAATCAGAGAGCATACATAAGGTTAGAGCAAGGCGAAATAGACGAAAAGCAGTACAACGTGGAGTTCGATAGGGATGTGTGCTGTCTCCCTAATTATTTAATATATACTCAGAATATACAGACCGGATCACCGTAGTAGTAACATAGGCACAACTTGGACGAATTAGCGTATACCTGTCCGCCGGATAAAAAGCAGGCGAAAAAATGCGATAAAATAAAAATAGATAGATATGTGATAAGAATGTTTCACAATTTGAATTTATTCGTGTTTTAATAGTCAAAACGAATACATAGATTCTCGCGACAGCTCTCGTGTAAAATTTATTTTTTAAGTAAAATAATGGATGTTTACGAAGTTCATGAGAAAATTAAAATTGTAAAATGATATGTAATGTAATTGTAATGGATACCGATCGTATAAAGCGCGCAAAACTGCAGAAATTTTCCATGAAGACCAATTTCGGCATTATGGCGTTTTGTGAATCTGTAATGGAAAAGGCCAATTTAGATGAAAAATTTATTCGGTGTATAGTTTTCACCGACGAATCAAGTTTTCCTTTATTGAGTTGTCATAACCCTACACAAGTACGATATTGGTCTCGGGAAAATTTGCACAGATATTTTGAGATATGCACGCAATATCCTCAAAAGCTAAATGTTTGGGATGGTTTTGTAGGGGAGCACATGATTGGTCCATTTTTTATAAAGAGTAATTTAACTGTGGCAAAGTAATTTGTAAAAAATTACAGTAGCAGATTATCCCTAGAATTCGTGAGTTATTGGGAGAAAGATTCCACAATGTCTGGTTTCAACAAGATGGTTGTCCTGCTCACAATACCCGTATTGTTCAAAAATATTTGAACAATACTTTTCCCAACCATTTAATTAGTGGATATGGAACTATTTTGTGGCCCGCTAGATCACCAGATCTTTCTCCCAATGATTTCTTTTTGATTTTACTAGGGCTAATAATCTGGATGAGCTTCAAGTAAAAATACAAGAGGCTTTCCAAACTATTAGCCCTAATATGTTAGCCAATGTCAGACGGGGATTTTACGACCGCCTAGGCTTCTGTCTAGCACAAGAAGGTGGTCTTTTTGAACACTTGTTATAACTGGAAATGAGTTTTGGGTTTAGAGAATCTATTTATTTTAAGTTTTAGTTTGTAAACATACTCAAATAATAAATATTTAAGTATTTTTATTTTAACTGTTACCTTAAGTGAAGGTAAACATTTAAAATGAAAATAATAAATACTCGGCAATCATCTAGCCGGCAGTGAATCTCAATCTCGAGTATGAACGTAATCGGGTAAAGGCAAATTCGTCTGGCAACCTGCTATAATACTAGTAGCCTGGTTTTCTGTGTATATTCGATAAGGCCCCATTAACAAGATAAAGGCACTGGCATAAAAATAAATGGCGTCCAATTAACAACCTTAGGTTAATGGGGGTAAATCTTGTCGTGCAAAATTATAATAATTATATATAATATTAGTTTAATATATTAAACTAAGACACAACTACACTCCCTTTAGTAACCTCCCCTTAGTAACATAAAATTTAACTCACTTCCACATAAGATACACTCGTTTATATAAATTATATGAATTAAAACACTTAAAACTTATACAGACTTAAAACGAACAGCCTGAAATAATATCCTTCCTCATCTAAATCAATTTATACAGAGCTTAAAAGTTAAGCGGCCGAACTATCTCCAAATGAGTTTTAACGAACTGCTGTGTAGCTTAATGTCGACTTTTACAGCGTAAAAGTCGTGCTTTAGTGGCATTTTAAAACTTTTAACAGACAATAAGTTTCCTTAAAAAGGAAACAAGGTCGTAGTAGATAAGAAAGCAAGCTATGTCCGTGTAGTTAAAACAATTTGTTGAAGTTGTAAGATAGTTTGCGAAGAGTAAGAGAGAATTATAGAAATAGTTAGAATTCAAGAGCGTAGAAAACACCAGATCTGAAAAGTAAAACTATAATAAATTTAATTTCAGGGCTAACGAAGTTACTTCTTTACATAAATAATGACGTATACATGTATTGCTAATAAAATCATATAGAAATTTAACGAAAGTGTCCATTTTTCTGAAAGATACAAGATAGATAGATGAGTAAATTAAAAAAAAAGAAAAAAGACTCAAAGTTTCGGTATCATACATTTATATTAAAACTAGACTATGTGACACGTGTTTCGCTCATACGAGTATCATCAGACAAATAGTTATTTTTTATGCAAGACGATAAAATGGCATTTTGCGATAATGCAATTTTATCGTCGTGTATAAAACAATATTTTTTTCCATAACGAGTTACGTTTTAAAAAATATTCAGAAATTATTATTTCAAGGAATTTACGAGTAGAAAAAATATTGTGCTGAGTTGGCTAGGTAGTTGGTTTCTATGTAATTTGACAAATAAATAAAGCTGTCTCTTTAGCTGCCAGTTTTGAGTCAACACTTTTTAATTCTCTTTCGTGTCAATTGCTGATTGAATTGGAGCCAGAAATGGCTTAACACGAAATAAGTAAATTACCAAAAGATATTCAGGCTGAGGCGACAAACGCCATATACAAACTACTTCCATTTAAATCCCGAATAACTTATGAAAAGGAATACAAAAATTTTCAAAAATGGAAGCAATTAAAAAACGTGCGAGAAGAAATAAAGTTTTTAACCTATCCCTCGCTGTTAAAGTATCATTATCTAATCTCCCTTGAGGTTAAAATACTATTTTATCTACTATTTTTGATAGATATAAGGCAATTTTGCTATGGAACAAAATAAACTTAAAACCACACATGTTCATATTTTACATATTTAAACAACTGTTTATTTAATATGGTTAATTTTATATAGGTATATTTTGTATACTTATTAAAATAAGGTATAATACAATATATTCCCGGATTGTCTTTACAAGACGAAGTTTTTTATTATTGAAATTTTGAAAAAAATGCAATGCGTCATGTTGTCTTCAAATATAAATTAGAAAACTGTACTTTAATGTCTTTTGCACCGTCTGGCGATGCGGAAGAAACTAAATTTGTAGTTCTATAAAATTACCATTGAGTATCTAGGGCCTGATAATAACCATCTATCATAGAATGAAATCCAATTGATATAAATGCTTTTTGATTTTTAGAACTCATATTTTCATGTTTTTCTTAATTTTCTCTAAAACGGTATGGAAATTTGGAAAAGTATTAACGAGATTAACCATTTTAGATTAAGCATTTTTTTTATAAAAAGTGCATCTTTCTCAAAATGCCAATAATAAAAAAGTTTTTCCTTTTATAAAGACCGGAGAAATCCGGAGACATAATATGTATAGGTGGGGTGGTATTTGGGATTATGGTATTTTATTATTATTATTACTGATTTGCAAAAATGTACAACAGGATACGCTAACAAATAAATTTTGAGAGCACTTGAAACCAAAATAAAACGTAAATATAATGTCTGTCACTAAATCTGTGATAATCTCTAATAAACAAAACAACGAGTTATATTGATTATACAACTTATCGCTTGGTGGCCATATTGTAATTGTCATTTTTTAAAATATTAATTCAAAAGTCATTTCTGTCAGTTCCACAAAATATCCCTCAATTCTTAATACAAAATGGCGAAATAAGAAATATATATGTACTTTATTTCGTTGTATAATCTTTTGAATATAACTCGATGTTTCGGAATTACCTAATATAGTACGAGAGCTAGAAACGTCGGGAAAACAAGTATTTTAAGACGTCTGGCTCTTTGAT